GCATGGTATGTATATAATAGTTGATGAAATAAATTATTTTTATTTCTAATTCCTAGCATCTTTAGAAAGCAATAAACGTATGAAAATGATGAATCTTCGAATCGGTATAACTTCTTCATCTTGGATCCTACAATTTTTACGCCATATTAACTTTTGCTCCAAATGGCTAGTTCTAACAATACGACCCTATTTTTCGTTGGTACTTTCAGTAAAGGCCCAAAATGATCTCCTTTGCCATAACTCCTCTCGCGGATGTGGTGAAAGCCAACAGCCAAACCTGATCCTTTACGATCTTCAACATGCGTAAATATTATAGTAAACCTCTTTTATTTAGAGATCACCTTAATACAGTAGTTGATTGTCACAGCTCACAGCCTTTTGATTTCTGTATAGAAAACCTAAGAGCTATAATGCACAATTTTCTGGCCTGTCAAGAAATCAATGGGATATGATCCTGTAGCCAGAATAGGATTATGATGCCCAAATTTAGTAATATTTACTCTCTTTTCTATGCATAGTAAAGCAATGTCTCTAATGGAATGAAAGTGTATGTTTTGAATCAATTTTATAATTCTTCCAATCTTGAAGTCAATCTGTGCAAATATCAGGCTAAGTCAAACCAACTGCTGTTGTCTGCGAAAACAACTTATTGTGTCTGATGTATGGTAATATGTGTAAAAATTATCTGGTCACGTGCTTCTATGATAATCAAGTGCGTGTTATTTATTGTATGTCGTTTTGTTAAGGAGGATTATCAATAACAAGCTAATTTATCGAAGATTTAATGCTTAATACTTAGCTCTTAGAATTAAAGTCAGTCGTTACTTATTAACTTTGAATTCTTTATTTTCGATACAAATTCAATAGACCTATGTCAAAAGGCTATTTTAACCCTTTAACTCGATTAAAATTGTTAAAGGCTAGCGTCTGTCATCAAAGCAAAAGCATTTATTTCAATTAAACCATAATTTAGTTTAAAACAAATCTTACTTTAGTTGTTATTTTAATATATTTATTAGATATATTATAGTATATTTTATATGAGGATTAGTTTTATATGTATGCATGTATATATATTAAAATAATCATATTGTTTTCTGTTGTATAATGTTAAGTATATGGCTCTGTAGAAATAAAATGTGTTACTATAAGAATTATATTTAGAACTCCTCTCGCCTGCGATAC